TGGGTTGGTTGGCCTTCTGAATGCTGCCAGCCCGCTCCAAGCTTTTCTGTACGTCTGATGGGGAAAAAAGAGCAACAAAAAACCCAAGAGTTCTCTTGCTTCCCTTCTAACGTAACCATTCTTCTCGGAGAGATTGGCCAGGCTTGGTGAGGAAATCGCTAAGGATTGCTTGTGCCAGCTTCTCTGGCGTGATTTTTCCGAAGAATGACTCCCAGATTATCAGCTTGTTTTCCCTTAGGCGTCTGTCCACTAGCGACGCTGTGGCGGTTTTTATAGCCGCGTCAGAAAGTTGTATTACTTTCTTCGCAGCCAGAGGATCCGGTCTGGATATCGCGAGGTATTCGTTCAGTGAAGAAAGTTCCTTGTCAACTTTCGTCCAAGTCGCTGCATTCTTAGTGTCTGCGTCCTCCAGTGCCTTCGAAAGACGCTCTAATTTCCCGTCGAGTATCCCGAACAAAGCGGAACACTGACTTGTATCTTTCTGAATCTGCAGTGAGGATTGGGTACCGTTTTGGGGGGCTCTCCTCTTCGCTGCGGTATGCATTGCACCCTTGACGTAGAGGCAGCTTGCGCAGACAAACGGGTCAGGAGAGTTAGCTAGCCGGCTTATGTGGTAGTCCTGCAAACCCATGCATTTGAGGTGCCACCAGGCCTTGCAAGTGTGGCATTGCATACCGCGTTTGACGTTCGACGGGCAGCCATTTCGCACACACCTGTTGTGGCCTATCAATGGCTGTAGAGGGCAATCGGTATAAATTGATGTCATGTTTAGGACTAGATGTAATATATGGAGTGTGCGCAAAATATCAAGGGTTATCTCTCAAATGTTTTGTTAGAGTAATAAAATTCAACGATTACTCGTGTGTACTCTGTGAATAGATTGAACAACGAAATATTCTCTCACAAATTTGCATGGGGGAAAAGCGAAACCGATTTCGAATGTACCGCGCGGGATCGACCCAATCCCAGCATACAAGAAAGAGATCAACGAGAATGGTACCACTGCTCAAGCCACAAACGCTCCCCTCGATCCGTAGCATGCGCCTAGCGTGAGCGATCAACTAGCTGCCTTCTACTCCTTCGAGCAGGTAATTGTATATGAAGCCTAACCTTATCCGAGGCAGTCTTTACTAACACTCTGCGAATATGGCCATCACTTCAGAGCTTGGCCTCCACTGTGTCGCCCCAAATCGCTACCGTGACCTACGCGATATGAGCAACCACGACCTCTGTCACTGTAGCCTCTACCCCCTGAGAAGAACAACTCAGTGCCTCGTCCAACTATGAGCCAAGTTCTCTTCTGTTCCCTCTTCCAAGCTGTTTTAGATAGGTGAATTGCTCTTTCGCTACCGTGACCTACGCGATATGAGCAACCACGACCTCTGTCACTGTAGCCTCTACCCCCTTGAGAAGAACAACACAGTGCCTCATCCCACTCTGAGCCAAGTCCTCTTCTGTTCTCTCTTCCAAGCTGTTTTAGATAGGTGAGTTTGCTCTTTTCCCGCGAATCTCTCACTAGTATCTCCTCATTGCTGGTATAATCCATCTCCGCTTCTGACCCAATGCTTCTATATAATTCATCTTCACCCACATTACCTTCACTGGCGGAATCTTCCTTCATTACAGCACCCCCAGCCTCCCATGGTACCTGGTCATAATCTGGCTCGCTACCGCTATTTTCATTTCATGGGGCAAAATGTGCAATAGCTTACTCCGACTTTAAGGAGGACCCCAGGAAAGCAATTTTAGGGTCCTAATTGCGAAGCACTTTGTCCAGAAGATTGTAAGGACCTGGTTGACAAACTCTGGGAAGCTGTGATATTATTTGTTCCATGGCTACCAATTTGAGAGTTTCCGTTATAACTGATGCTTCGCAAGTCTCTGGCACAAAAGGAGCAAAATCGTCATATGATTCATTCAAGAGGATCAACAGACAGTGCCTCCTGATCAGGTGAAAGAAAGAAGGCCATCGCTGTGGGGTTATTTTTTGAAAAGCACCAACTGAACAGCTACGGACTATTGGACACGGAAGCAAAGCTTCCATTTACATCTTGTTTATAAAAGCTGAGTATTTCTCGTCTTCACGGGTGCGTCTTCCTGAACCCTCCTGGATACTCGCTGGCCGTGAACAAATGTAAAAATCGATTCCACAGGTTCCGTAGTAAATCTATTACGCGAAGCAGGTTTACAAGAAAACCACATAATACTCGCAAGTCACATCAGTAGTATCCCTTTGAAGGTCCTTCGCATACCACTGGTTTTCACTTACCTCCGTTAGGATGGCCTAAGCAGCTGCTCCATTGGGCTGCTCCTCGGGTGTATCATGCCAATTACGAGGATGAGTCGCACATACGCTTTCCGATCCTCGATCGTCTCGAATTGTGTAAACGTTCTTCTGGCGATCGGTAACGCCAAACGGACCTTGCCATCGACTGCCCAGCTTCCTTGACCCCAATCCACTCGTTTCATGCAACGCAGCCAGTTATGACGCAACTAATCCTCCGAATGCTTTCCTCTTTCACCACCTCTCTCCGGATTTTTTGCTTGCCCTTTCATTCTTACTGGCCTCCCGGGTCCGGGATGATATCTGTCGCTCAACAAACACAAAGTATTTGTGACATTCAGCAAGACCTACCCACCTCTCCCTACCTAGCTCCTGCCATTGGAAGTTTTCACCCTGATATCTTTCTCCATGAAAAGTCACTGAAGACCCTGCATATTAAAATACACCGGGATGGCAAGTAGTATCGGAACTCTTGAGATTTCCTATTAGCAATCCTCATCAGCATATTCTCAATTGATCGAGGGTCCCTACGGGTTCCCTCGACTGTCGTGAAGTGAACGGTATTCTTAAGGCCCTTCTTTGCTGTAAAGTACTCAGCCGTAAATTCCGTGTGTGCTGTGCCCCAAACAGCCATTCAGTTACTTATCTGAGTTCCCGAGACGGTAGCTTTATCACCGACCCTGTCAATACACCCGGCCGCTTGAACGCTTGTTTTAATTGCTCACACTTCCTTCTCAAACCTCAAACCACAACACCTTCCGCACACTTCACATCTCCACAGCAGGTTAACCGCTCCTCTCCCCGCAACCAGTTCCCTAGGTGATGAATAAGCCTATCTTTGAACCCTGAAGGACTCCGTCGTGCCAAAGGCGGCGGCATGCTCTGAGACATGGTGGTCAAACTATCGAAACCCTTGCCCCAAAACTTTTCAAACACTCAGTCAACCCTGAAATCGTCTTCTTCCAGTGGAAATAATATGTTGTCCGCCCTCGTTTCATCAACCGTGCTTGTTATCGTTCAAGGAATAATAGCCTCTTTATATTTTTATGTATGCAATCAGGGCAAGTGTGTGATTTATTTCCTACTGAAATACAGGACTTGGTGTGGTGCAAATCCAACTAAGAAGGATCTGGCAAGAATTTCTTACATCGGTGAAACCCAGGTGGCATAGGTCGGTGAAGTTTCTACTGGGAGAAAATGGATATTTGGATGGTGGAACCCACATTACCGATGGCTGGTGAACTTAAAACATACAGTCCCGAAACGAAGGCGCTAAACATTAAGAATGAGATTAACTTGAACCTTCGAGTTTTTGCCTCACGCCAAAATAGCGAAATTGTATCGGTCGCGCACTGCTAGGCAGAGTAGATGGCAAAAAGATCCTGTTTCCTCATAAATATAAATAAAGGAAAGGGAGTTAAATTACCGGTTCTGAAAAGCGTGGGCAATCATTGGTCAGATACATTTAGGTATTGCAAAGGACCAGTTGGTCATTAGGGACTGAAAAATGAATGATCGCACCACTAGCAGAATTGGCAAGCGTTGCGTCAGTATAGTCCGTGGCTTGTATGTGGAACACAGATTCAGCTGATTTAGAAGGACGTTTGGGCCCTGATACCACGTTAGTGCTCCACCAGGTTGAGGTATGTAGTGCACCATTGGTGGGCCATCGGACTCAGTATGACTGTCGCGGAACTGCTATCGCGATGTGGCATTTAAATAATCAAAATAATGTTTATTCCCAGATGGTGGTTGACATACCGCACGCAGGGTGATAATGGGATCAAACTGCGGTGGACACCAAGGGCGGAGAAACGGTTGTTGAGTTTTCTTATTTTCAGGGGCATATCAGGCTTAAATAAGATAGGACCTTTGAAATTTAAAGACAGTCAGCAACAACGTTAAGCGGAGACACACGTGAGATAACCTGCCTGGTATGTGACAGGAAAATTTCCTGTTGCGGAAAGTGAAGAACCAGAACAATGAATCCGGTGAAACAGGTGCTTTGCAACCGCTGTAGTTGAACTAAAAACTAAAATGCTTGCTAGGGCTACACGGTCTAGGGGAGTTGGATTTCTGGTTGCTTGCACGAAAACAATAGCGGGGAGAATGAATTCGATAAATTGGCAGTATGCGTGTAAAGTAGCCGGAATATCATAATCACGGTGTACAGTGTAACTGTTTAGACTCACTGGCGCCACTGCTGTTGCGGGGTCAAGTACGGAAGTTCCTTCGGGGAATGGGTTTTTGTTAACCAACGGGACAGAATGCAGTGTATAGAAAAAATGAACTTTGCGGGGAGCGCGAACAGAAAGTTCACCGAGGCCGTTAGATCCGAGCAACTCACTCATTTCGTTAGGACGAACTTGTCCTTTAAGTGACTCGAGCCAGCTAGAGAATTTTCCATAGTTGCAGGCAACGAAACCAGTATGCGTGAGACAGAGATTCAGCAGTCAGACCGGGTAGGTCCATACCGTGCCGCCAGTGCACTAACATTTATTTGTTCCTTAACGTCCCCGTAAAGCGCATCGTTCTGTATGATTGAGCTGGAGGTGTGCCTTTCTGTAGATAGCGGGTTCTCTGGGCCAACAAGGGAGATCCATATAGGTAAAAAACACGGATGTATGATCACAACCAGTTTAAGTTTGGTCGGAGATCCTTTAGACATCTTAGTGGAAGTAGTTTGGGTTACTGACCACATTTGTGGAAATCAGGTTACCCGGGAAGTTATGGAGGAATGAGACACTCATGGGATGAGGATGTTTTCCAGTCCAGCGAAAGTGGTTCACGAGGGCGATGTAGATTCCTCCTATCCAGAGATGTATTGTAGCCGCCACCTCAGGACTGGACTTATGCAGTACTTTACACGGTAGAGAACCATATATTAACACTTCTGACCGGGTTGCGTATGAGGCGTTATACTCATGGATGACAAGGCTTGCTATATCGAAAGCCTGCACCGGAGTCTCCCTAGACGCTCGCTCAATAAAATGCACCCATAGCTTATCCTGCCACCGCAGCACTGTTCGAAACGTAAGCCTTCTGATTGCAAAACTCCAACCGCCAATCACGAAATCTGAGGTTGAGTTATCCAATCACACGTGTAAAGTATTTACCCGTTGCAGTCGGGCAAAGGATTAACCGGTTGCTTTATTCAGCTCGGTGTGCCATTCGGCCGTCTCTCCGGAACACCGCATACCCTCTGTTTTACGGGGATTTGTTGAACAAAATTTGGCAAGCCTGTTCGACGCAAAGCCATCTGTCGAATGAATCGGCAGGGCTCGCTAGATTCCTCGTGATGACGATCCGAACGCGAATGGCTTACACAGATTTGTTTAACAGAAAGCACCAGAAAGCGATTTGTCAACAAAACAAAAACCCCGAACTTCAATAACTGTGAAGAATCAACTAGGACGCAAGCACAAGTCGCTGAGCTTGAGAACCCGAAATTTCGTGATGCATGCTCTGAAAAGCTAATTGATGACCAATCAGTAAGAGGCTCAAACGGTAAGCTAGTCCACTTTGTTGCAGCTGAAATTTGGGTGAGGAACGCACCTGATAAAGTGACATGTAACATAGTCATAGTGAAATACGCTATTAATCCTCTGTAAAAGGAAACGATGTCTACCGTGTGAAATATTTTATCACTACGCACGTTCCCGCGGAGAAAAGAAATCAGACTTACTTTAAAACACCGATATCCTGGGCATTTAAACGAATTGTTTAAGAGACTACGTATACACTGATGCTATTTTTCTGAAACAAGTTTTTAGCGTTGCGGATGCAAGTGTGCTGACTTAGTCCATAATGAACTTGGGGTTCCGTTGCCTACCGAATACTGCCTCTAAGATCATCCGTCTTTCACTCAGCACTTTCAGAAACGCAATTGTCATTTGGCGAAGCAGCAGACTCTCTTCGCAATGTTGTTACAATTTGCGTGCTTAACTCCATCCAGCAAAGACCACTTAGAGGATCTTGGATTCTGTACCAGATCCAAGCCTTGAAGGATGCGCCGTCTCTTTAGACGACTCATCCGTAAACACCGTATGTTTCAAGCAAAATCTTCAGCTGTCTGACACTACGGTGCCCGTGAGCACCTATGTAAGCCATTTCTCAGTGAACTTGGGACGGATAATGCGGATTTTTCTTCCCAACCGCAGTGAGTCCACTCCGGACGGCGACTCTCTAATGCGATTACTCGGATCTTTGCGTATGAGGTTCCACATGAGTCATCAGTGGGGTCATCCAACTCGGCAGTTTGATGTTGACCGAGTCTATTATCCAGGTTCATTACTACGTTAAAAGTCACCTGGATCCCCAGCTGGATTCACTGATAT